TTGCCACGAACGCCCGATTCGGAGGCTATGGTACGGCGCTCGACAAAGAATCTGCTGCGGTTGGGGGGGGGGAAGGGGAGGAGGGGAACGGGGGAAAGTGGAGGGAGCGGGAAAACGGGGAGGGGAGGAGTGAGGGGAAGTGGGGGGAAAGGGGAAAGGGAGGAAGTGAGGAGGGGAACGGGGAGGAGGAGGAGGAGTGAAGAGGGACAGTGCGGGGAGGACAGTGCTTAGGAGGGAGAGGGATGAAGAGTGATGGAGGGAAGACGGGTGGGGGAGAGGGAAAGGGGGGAGTGAGGAGGGAAATGGGAGGTTGAGTACAAGAGGGAAGGGGGCTGAAGGGGAGAGGTTGCTGCTAGTGGGCGTGGGTGAAGAGGGAAAGGGAAGAGGGGTGAAGGGGAATAAGAGGAAGGAAAGAACGGGAGAAGGGTGATGGAAAGGATACCATGAGAGATGAGAGAAGGAGGAGGAGGAAGAAGAAGAAAGCAGAAGAAGAGAAGAGGAAGAGGAGAAGAAGAAGTGAAGAGCAAAAGAAGGAAGAAAAAAGACGAAGAAGAAGAAGAAGAGAGAGGCAGCGAAACGAGGAGGAAAAGAGGGGAAAAGAGCATCTAAGGCAAACTTCTAATGATGTGTCCAAGCGAGTCATTCGAAACGTGACCAGAGGAGAGGGGAAAAAGTGAAAAGAAAAAACGAGAAAATCGATGGAAAAGAAGAAATGAGAAGTAATGCAAAAATAACAAATTCATTTTAAAAATAACTTGGGAAAGAGGGAGAGAAAAAAAAACAGAAAAGGAAGGAAAAATGTAAATTAGAAACCAAAGAATAAAGAAGAAACAGGAAATATATTAATAAATAAATAAAGCGAAAACAAACAAAAAGAGAAAATCAGAAACGCTGACATTACTAACAAGAACAACTCAACAAAAAATGACAAGATAAGTGTTACAAGAGGAGAATCCAAAATCGAGAAAAAAATACGCACACACACACAAACACACATACACACAAACACACAGACACCCCATCCCCACCCCACAAAACAACAACGTAGGCCCAACAAAACAAGAACAACAAACAAGAAGTCGAGAGAAACAATATGAAACAAAAGGGATACAAAAGAAACATCGATAAAGCGAGGACGAACGCAACACATGAAAGAAAAATTCGTCGCTCCGATACAAGAAGACGACCGACAGAAGCAGAGAGAGAGAGAGAGATGAGGAGAGAGAGGTGTGACGAGAGTGGAGAGGAGGAGAGAAGAGAGAGAGGAGAGAAGAGAGAGACGAGAGCAGAGAGAGGTGCGGCAGACCGACGTGTGAAGGAGAGGAGAGAGAGAGGAGACGAGGATGAGAGAGAAGAGAGAAAGCGAGAGCAGAGGAGAAGGATCGAGAGAAGAGAGAGATAGAGAGAGAGAGAGAGAGAGGGAGAGGAGAGAGAGAGAGAGAACGCAGAGACGAGCAGAGATAGAACGCAGAGAGAGAGAGGACGAGGAGGAGAGAGAGAGAGAGAGAAAGATGAGAGAGAGACAGAGACGAGACGAGGAGAGAGAGAGAGGAGGAGAAGAGGACACTCGAGGATAGCCACGAGACACGAGCCAGTAGCAAGGTCCGCACGGAGTTCGCGAGGCCCGAGCGGCCTGACCGTTGATGCGACCGAGAGTCTCGCTCATCACGAAGCTGGAGGTCACGCGACTGAGATCGACGAGGCCCGCTCGCCGAAGAGAGAGAAGGAGGGAGAGAGGACGGACGGAGAGGACGAGAGAGAGACGAGACGGAGGAAAAGAAGAGGAGAGAGAGAGAGAGAGAGAGAGAGAGAGAGAGACGAGAAGCGAGAGACGAGAGAGAGAGAGAGAAAGAGAGGAGCAGCAGACGAGACGGAGAGCAGAGATCGCAGAGACGAGAAGAGAGAGAGAGAGAGCAGACGAGAGGATGAGGAGAGCAGGAGAGAGAAGAGACGAGAGAGAGATGAGAGGAGAGAAAAGAAGAGAAAGAGAGAAAAAGAGAGAGAGAGAGAGGAGAAGAAGAGAGGAGAGAGAGAGAGAGGAGAGAGAGAGAGCGAGAGAGCAGAGAGAGAGAGCAGAGACGGAGAGAGAACAGAGAGAGAGAGGAAAGAGAGGGAGAAAGAGAGCATGAGAGGAGAGAGGAGAGAGAGAACGAGAGGAGACGAGAGAGAGAGAGAGAGAATGAAAGAGACGAGAGACGAGAGATAGAGAGACGAGAGATGAGAGGAGAGAAAGAGAGAGCCAGAGATAACGAGACGATGGAGAGAGAGATGAGAGAGACGAGAG